AAATATTTTACGCTTTTTTGTAAATTGATGACAAAATTTTTCTTACTCTTGTTTAAAAAAGAAAATAATTTATATATGTTGGTGTAGAACCCAACATCAAAGAAGTTCATGCACATGCATCCATCATATCTGCTCATTGTCCATTTTTTAGCAATGCATTAAGTAATGCAACAAAAGAAAATGGGTATTATATTGTTAAGAAAGCTAATATTAGTGAAAAAATTTTCAAACCTATTCTCAAGTAAGCTTAAATAAATTTATTATTATTTAAATATATAATAATCTGTTTAACAATTTAATAATTTAATAATTTATTTATTAAAAGATTTTTGTACACATGTAAAGTTGAATTTGAAAATTATTCTGGAGTTGAATTATTAGAACTATTAACTGCAACAGATGAACTTGGTATTGAGTCACTTTATGAATACATAATGAAGTACTTTGTTGAAAATTATGAAGATTATGTAGAAGAAAACCCAGTTAAAATTCTACAATTGATTTGTGCTAACAAAAACTTTAAGGAATTGAAAAATATTTATTTGGAAAAATTTTGTGAATATAGTGAAAAATTATTTGAATCAGATGAATTTAAATCATTGGAAAAACCAATTCTATTGGAAATTCTCAAAAGAGAAGATCTTTCTGTTGATGAGATAGTTATTTGGGAAAACATTCTTAAGTGGGGATTAGCAAAACATCCAGAAATCAATAATCATAATAATATTGAAGATTGGTCATCACAAAATTTTGTTGATTTAGGCAACACATTAAAAGAATTCTTTTCATTGATAAGATTTCAGGATATCTCTAAAAAGGATTTTTTTAGTAATATTGTGCCATATCAACCTCTTTTTCCTAAGGTTTTATGGAATAACCTTTTACAATCTTATTTATTTCCAGACAAGCAACCAGTTTTAAATTTATTACCATCAAGAATTTCAAAATTAAACTCAACACTTGAATCATTGACAATCAATCAAAATCTTACTTTACTTTTTGCAAGTTGGATTGATAGAAAAATTCCACCATATGTTTCATTTAGAGATGTAAAATATGAATTCAAACTTCTATATCGTAGTAGCAGAGATGGTTTAAATGGAGCAACATTTCATCAAAAATGTGATGGTATCAACAAAACTCTTGTAGTTGGTAAAATACAAAATTCAGAACAAATAATTGGTGGTTATAATCCATTAAATTGGAATGGAAATGATGTATATAAAAACACAACTGAAAGTTTTATTTTTAATATAAGTAATAGAAATGATATCAATACTGCACAATTTAGTTATGTTATTGATAATAATTATGCAATTTGTTGTTATCCTTCTGCTTTACCTTCATTTGGTAATGGTTGGGATGTTTATTTTAATCAAAGTGGTACTTGTGGTGGTGGTTACCCAGAAGCTTATAATAACATCAATATAATAAATGAGAGTAAATTTGATGAATTGGAGGTTTTTCAAATAATTGATAAAAAATAAAAATAATAAATACAACATCAGATTATTATTTCTTTATATATTTTTCATATTATTTTTCATTAATTATAATTAAATTACTTTATTTACAATAAACATAAGATCAGATTCAATTAATTGAATATGTTAGCTTGATAAATTATTACTAATGTGAGGAGACAAAAATGCAAAGAACTAATAAAAAAATTTCAACCAACTTAATGAAATTCTGGTCTTTGCTTGAAAAAGCAGAGAAGGAAACTTCATTAGAGTCCTTTTTTGAATGAGCAGGGAAGGAAAAATATTCAAATAAAATAAAATTTCTGTAAAATCATTATCTTTTTAAAAATAAATCCTTAAAAAATATTAAAAAATAAACACATTATTTTATTTTCTGTTTAAAGCAAAG